TCTTCAAGATGATAAGTACAAGTGAGTAGAGAAAACAAATACAGTAATATAAAATTAGAAAATTTAACTAAAGAGTATAATAATATGTATAAAAGAATTATTGAAAAACTTAGAACAAGATTTATGTATTTGTTCATGCAAGTTGAAGTGTAACAATAAAAAACTTCTTCATCTTGCTTTTGGTCCGTTCCACGAGTTTTGTCATCATACGTTAAAACGACTTTTATGGCTTTCTCTTGACAAACATAAGTCAACATATTAAAAAAATTAATATAAATGATATAATTTTGTTTCTATAACTAAATGAATGAAACTAATATACTTAAAGTAGATTGATTAATTTTTTTCATGACCTCTCAAGAAGAATACAATAATAACAAGTAATAAGAACAAAGTAAATACAATAAATTATAGAAGAAGAAGGAGAACAGGGTAAAGAAAGAACCTAGAAAAAAGAATTATAGAATAAGACCGTTAAAGAAAAACACTGTAAATCATAGGACTCAATCCAAAATCGTAAGAAGAACAACTTCAATGTAATCGTATATATCGGTTGTTTTTCAATAAGGAAATCATTATCTTCCAAAAAAAATGGGATCCTAAAATATTATCTTGGAGATTTTCGGTTATTCATCTAGAAAAAAATGATATCATTTGTATTGAATCAATATTTCAAAATAATTGATTTGCTTAATTAATGAGTTGTAAATTCAAACTATTATCTCAAATTGATTTATTTTACGTGGGATATACCCGGAGATAAATTATAAATAATATTGACTTTATTTTTTAGTCTTAAATATTTTTCTAATTTAGTAGGATTAGATTAGATTTTATAGGTTAATGACCAAATTATTGATATGCTTATTTAATGAGTTTTTTCAAAAAAAAAAAATTAAATAAAAACTAAACGGGTTTGAATTTTGAAGCCAGAAGCTATAAATAAGGGAGTTAAATCAGGAATAATATCAATTAGAGAAACTGATATCTCATATATAAATAGAATGATATGTTGTAATTGGTAATGTAATTATTATTAAAGATTATATAATTAAAGATAATTGTTTTTGAATTTTATTTGAAAAAGATGATGTCAGCAATCAAATCTAATGGTGGAAAACATAGGATTGAAATGCAATCAAGGGTCCTGATTGCTTCACTGATGAATTAAGGGTTCTCTTTTAATAATATTTAGAGATTTTAAGTAAAAATACTATTTGCATAGTCTTCGAAGTTTTTACGGTGTTTCCATTGATCCCCATTGTGTCCTCCCTGTCTCCGGCAATGACGCCCCTACCCACCAGCGCCACAGCTTCTTTCTCCCGACGAACACTCCCTTCTCCCCTACTCCTCCGGTTTGTTTATGTGACAGTCTGAGTCCTGATTCGAGCGAAGAACGATATGAGTCCCAATTAGAGCAAACGAGCTCTAATGTGAACAAAGAGAAATTGAAGTTTGCCCTCTTCTTTCTCCTAAATTTTCACTCGTTTTTTAGTTGTCTGTATAATTGTCTTGCACGGTGCATCCCAAATTGTACAGAGGACTATTGTAGACCGTTTGGCTTTACAACCATATGCTAAACCTAGAGAGCACCACGAGTACAGGGGTTTTTTTTATTTCATGATATTGAAATTTCGACTTTCTTTTTATTTTTTACAAAAAATCATCTCCATTATCCATACAAATGGAGAATTTATATGGTATTACTATTTTCTTAATTATAGGATTGTGATTTATCAAATAGTTACATGTTTTATTGGTTAGTCATTAAACAAGAAAATAACCCAGGGTAACGAACTTTTGATTTTGTTTATTTAGACTTTTTTTACACTATATATTAGCGCTGAACAAAAACCGACCCGTATATTAAAATAACTGAACAAATCTCATCGTAAAAACCGAAACTGATAAACTGAAAACGAAACGGAAACTGATAGTGCGATTTTTAAATTTTATAGAAACCACAAATTTTCGGTGTGGTGCGATTTTAATTTTTCAATAACCACAAATAACTAAATCGCACCGAATTTAATATATTAATATTTATTATTTAGTTAATAATAATATATAATATAATTACTTATGTTATTGGTTTGGTAATGTTTTAAAATGTCTTAAACTCTTCAAAATATGGTTTAATGGTGTTTAACTTTTAAGGTAATTATGAAATTCAATATTTTTAAGATGTTAATTGTTAATTTAATATACTAATTTGATATTGTTTTATATCTTATTGATTTGTATATTGTTACAACTAGTAGTATTTGAACATTGAACTTTTAAAACCGCAAACAAAACGTACCACTTCCACACGATTAAAAGCTACAACCGTAACCGCATGAAACCGAACCACACAAAATAACCACATAATTACACCACTACATTAACTGCACCATTCGATATCTAAAATTTAATAATCGCATTTGCGGTTAGCGGTTCAATTTTGACTAATAATCGCACCGAAAATCACCATACTCACCCCCACTATTTACCATCAAACTTGTTGAAGTTAAAATATATCTTGCAACTGGCTCCTGTAGGTTACAAATGTAATATGTTAATAGTTTCAACAAGTTAGGTGGTATATAATGTGTAAAAAAAGACTAAATATGAACAAAATAAAAAATTCTTTTGAGAACCAGTATATGCATGAAAACTTGAGAACTTTTTTCCGGCTAAAATTTTTCAAAACCTACACCACCCTTCGGTCATCGTCTAAGCAAGTCACACCATAATAATAAAAAACGACGTTTTATTCATCTGTTTAAATTCCAACTCTTATTTATTTTATCATATAAAAATAAACGAAAGAGGGTAACAAGTTAGTAGGGTTTATTACTATTATACTAACTTATCGTTGTATGTAGGGTTTTATTCGTCAATTTAGATGGTGTTTGTTAAGTTTTTTTGGACAGATCAATGTTTCTTAATACGTTTGAAATGTTGATTCTTGTTATTTGGATTTAACCGAGAACCGAACAGAATAACCTGAAATATGATTTACCCAAATTTTATTTTGTTCGGTTTTGGTTAACATTTTAGAAGTAAAAAACTCGATAAAACCGAGTGAATAAACTGATAACAAATTAAACTAGGGGTGAGAATGAGTCAGATTGGGTCGGTTTTGGGATTAAACCAAACCCAACCTGTGTATGTTGGTTCTTAGACTGTAGAACCCGTCCGGTTTGGTTTTTGGGTTCTTGAGTCGGTTTCATTGGTTTTTGGGTTTACCGATGGGTTGATGAGTTTTGGCTTGTAACCCATTTTTCAGCAAATCTTTATAACTTAAAAAATGAAACAAATTTAGCAACATAGATTAAAGAAACAAAAAAAAACTAATTTCAACACCAACACAACATCAAAATTATGTTGCTAAAAGGTTTACAACAACCAAATTTAACAAGTTGTTAGAATAAAAAAACAAGTAGCAAACAACCACGTAATAATATCGTTTACACTAAAAAAACAAAATAGGCCATATATTTAGTGAAATTTATTACCAAAATCCATCTCATTTTGCATTTGACGTATAATACATTTGACATAGAATAAAAGAGAACAAAAAATTTCAAAAATTTGTGTTCTTTAATGTTTTATATGTTAAAGGACCCTTTTAATTCTAAAATATGAAATAAGAAAAGATATTGAAAACTATAAATATACATATATGCAAATTACAAAAAAAAACATTGTTTTTTTTTTATTTTTATTTTTTATTATTAGGTGCGGTTTGCTTAGGGCCGGTGTGGTGGTGTTTGTTTTGATAAATGTTGGCTGAAAAGGAAGTTTATATGAAAGTATTGGTTTTCAAAAAAACTTTTGATTTTGTTCATATTTAATCAATTTTTTTATATATTATATATCATCTAACTTATTGAAATTGTGCTTTATAACTTGCAAGAGTCACAAAGGTAAAATGTACAAAACTTTAACAAGTTAGATAGTATATATCTATATAATATAAAAAAAAAAAATTAAATATGATCAAAATCAATCATTATCCTTTTGAGTCATTTCCGTTACAAAGCAAATAAAATCATTAAAATATCATTGATAAAAATATGCAATCCAACAAAAACCAAATATTTTTATATAATTTAGTTATGGCTATGACTAAAATAAATTAGTATATGAAATTGATGCAATGTCATAATCGACCATAAAGATTACGTACTATTTATTTGTACATACTCGTTCATAATACACCGATGTCGATGCAAGCCGTCCATTTCAAATTCAATTTTTGATTGATGACAAAATATGATTGTTTGATCGAAGTAGATTACATATCAAAATAAATAGGGTGTTGTATGTACCTTCAATTTTTTAAAATTCCTCTCTGTATCCCTCTCTTTTGTCTTTAATATTCTTTTTGATTAGACATATTTTACATTATTTTTGTTGTTTATTATTATTATTATTATTTTTTTTAAAAATTGATTTGATTAGATATATTTGTAATAGTCTGAATGAAAAAAATAACACAAGGATAGTCTTAATGAAAAAATAACACAAAGATAGTCTGAATGAAAAAAAATAATGTATGAACAGTCCAAACAGAAAAATAACACATAGATAATCATAATAGAAAAACAATACAAGAATAATCGGAAAGAAAAAAAAAGTAACACACTGATAGTCTAAGTGAAATAAAAATAACACAAAAATAATCTGAATGAAAAAAATATACTTTTAATAATAATAATAATAATATATTTATTAAAAATAATGAAATCAAAAAATAACAAAATTAAATAAAAATAGATAAATAAAACACAAGGATAATCCAAAAAAAAAATAATAATATGTATTTATTTAAAAAAAAAAAGGATAGAAATGAGAATTTTGGGGTACATAAAAAAACCCAAATAAATAATATCTATGATTTGATAGCCCATTAATTAAATCAAAAACTGTGTATAGTAACTATAGTTAAAGACAGATAGTTCATGTGACAGGTTTGGGAAGAAATATGTCATAGTGTCATTAATAAAACCTGAATGCTTAATCTCAATGAAGAAAGAAAACATCTGATGATATCGCTGTTAGTTTAAATGATATAAAATATAGAAGTTGATAAGTCTACTTGTATTTATATTCATCCACTTAAAAGTTAGATTTTTAATTTTATGTTTCTAGTTTTATTATGATATTCATTTTAATTGTAATTTGAAAATATAAAAATCAAAATACCTTATTTTTATAATGATGATTGATGAATCAAAACCATAAATGAAAACATGACCAACATAAAATATATTTTTATTAAATTTGCGAACCAGGCTTCTAAAATCTAGACATTTTCGCTAATTTTAATTTAGACCCCTTGTGTTTATTTTGGGTTCGTTTAATTTCATTTTCTTCATGACAAGGAAGGTGTAAAGACTTGTTTCAGTTACCCAGAAGGTACCGAGCGTCTCGTTATCGGTTTGAAGTTCATACAATCTCTGTCTTCAAATTCGTATGATAGTCCTCCTTATTTTTGATGGTTTTCTTTCAATTTTATGGACTTAGAACTCGTTATTCACGTTAGAAAGATTAATTCTCTAAGCTTTTCATGGTGCACACCATGTGTTTGTAAAAATGCCTCTAACAGCTCATCGTTCGCTCGCCCAAGGAATTGAACTTATCTAGCTTAAAGGATTGATTTCCGATACTTAGACTTGCATACATATTAGATTAAGCGTATTAGCACTCAGTATCCACGCTACCAAGATTAGTTCCCCACGTTTTTCATGGTGCACACCACCTGTTTGTAGAAATGCCTCTAACAACTTATCTAGCTTAAATGATTGATTTCCGATGCTTAGACATGAATACTTATTAGATCAAGCGAATTAGTACTCAGTATCCACGCTACCTTGATTAGTTCCCCATGTTTTTCATGGTGCACACCACCTGTTTGTAGAAATGCCTCTAACAACTTATCAAGCTTAAAGGATTGATTTCCGCTACACATTTTCAATCCTATCAGCACCATCTTTATTGGTTTCAGATTCTGTGAAAAAAATGCTGAAGTCATTGGTTTTGAGAGCTCGTTCTACACAAAACATTCTCAACCATGTGCAATTTATTCAACAGGTATTAGTACATACTCTCCATACCCCAAAACAATGCAACATTTTGACTCTGACATATAAATTAATAATACTGTTTAACCATCACCATTGATATAATAATGTCTAAAATGCCCTTATGCAAAATGCAGCGAGGACTCCACAGTAGAAATAAGATGGCAATGGAGTACATTGCAAAAGGGTGGAATGCACTGAAGGAGATTGATAGAGTGATTGATTATTGTGAACCCAGAGATAAACGACTCATTCCTCACCTTAACACTGCAAAAGATAATTTTGAAATGGCTCTGGAAGTTGATAACTCAAACACCCATGCCAGATATTGGTTATCCAGATTGCACCTTAAATACCATGTCCCTGGCCAATGTAAAGCCATGTAAGTAACCACTTTAAATTATCTCCCTATATAAATACTATTAATTTCTTGATTTTGCAACAGAGGAGCTTCTTTATTGGTGGAAGCTGCAAATATGGGTGATGCAGATGCTCAATATGAATTGGGTCGTAATTTAAGAATCGAAGTTAGTTTTTTCTTAATTATCTTTTTTTAATTAACTTAATTTTATTACTATAAACTAATTTATAAACAGAACAAGGGTGTTGACACGGATCAAGAAGCTTTTTATTATTTGGAGAAGGCGGCAGACCAGGTATGTCACTAAGACATAATTATTAATTACCAACATTTTTTTTTTTTTTTTTTTTTAAATATATATTTTTGTTTAGAACTTAATTGGGTTTGATGTGTAAAAATGTTTTAGTTGCAACCAGATGCTCTATACCTTCTGGGAGCTGTCTATTTAACAGGTGACTGTGTTAAGAAAGATGTTGCCTCAGCAATATGGTGTTTTCATAGAGCTTCGGAAAAGGTATATAATATAACAACTCATAACAATGTACTTTATTCTTGCTACTGATATTGTCAATGTACTTATATTAATTTTACTCATAATTTTATTTTGAGGTAATAAAAATGTATCCATATTTACCTCAAAAGTCAAACTATACATCTTTTTTTTTTTTTACATATGTGTAGGATCATGCTGGGGCAGCAATTGCATATGGATCCCTTCTTCTTAGAGGTATCCCCCTTTTAAAGTTTCTGTTTTCTTTCCATTATTGTTTATGCTAATCATTACTTATGTGACAAAAAATCAAAATTCATATGGATTTTTTTTTGTGTGTGAACAGGCTATGAAGTTCCTACATCTCTAACAAAATTTAATCTAATAAAAAATGGGAGGAAACTAAGGAAGAAAACAGGTGAAGCCAACAAGCCTAATCCAATCCAATTGGCAAGAGAACAATTTGAAAATGCTGCAAGATTAGGAAGTGATCTTGGATTCAGATGGTTAAAAAGACTTGAGGAGGAAGAGAAGCGTCTCCTTGCTGCATAAAAGATATGTACCTTATGCATAAACACTAGTACACACATGTTTTGGAATAAACATAGTTAATGAGAAGTATCTAAAATTTTATATTTTATATAATCATCATTAACTATTTGCACCGACTGGGTTCATATGAATATGTCCAAAAGATCAGTTTACTTTTTTGGGTTTTGAATTATTTAAAGATATGTTTGTCTGTAATTAAATATTTGAAGCATTGTGTTTATGGTATTATGATATGGAATAAAAAAGATTAGGAAAACATTAGGATCTTTAGATGACAGCATGATAATGGTTACAGCCTGCCAATACTAGGGATACAGAATTTAAAAGTCCCTTTCCAATCTTATTTTTTTGGTTTTTTAATATATTTTTATCACAAATTATCTCCAATTAACTTCCTGGAAGCAACAACAATAATGCACTAAGTGTTTAGTTTATAAGTTATAATATCTTTGACTAAAATAAAGCTTCATATTTTAATTATTAGTGTTTTTCTTGTTTTAAATGCTTAACCGAATCAAAATGAACCATTACCGGGTCAAAAGAAGCGAGAGGGTCAGAATGAAAATATCGTCCAAAATGACCATCCATCTACAGTTGACTTGCATATTGCATACTGAAAGGAAATTGAGAACTGAAATTGAGGAGAATTGAAAGTAACAAGAAACTGGAACTTGATAATGAGATAAAATTTGTCATTCTCATTGATAAGTTAGAAGAACAAATGAAACAATGACATACGTTCCTATGTAATCTAAATCATTAGATTACAAAAACTAAATTGACTAAAATGATGATGACAATGACATGATTTAACTATGAAAAAGAAACATAATGCAATTTTAATATAGGTACCAATTAAAACTTGCTCTTAATTTATCAAGGAAAAAAATCAGCATTCATAATTTATATCGATATATTTTTTTTATATAAAATATGATTTTTTTTTTTAGTATCAGTAACATTTGTATCACATTAGTATTACAACAATGGGGTTATTCAAATGTAACTGACGTATGTAACTTTTACACTAACTCATGTGAATAACCTACAAGCCATAAATAAAATTGGATATATAAGTTATTTATATGTAAATAATACACATGTGAAGATGGAATAGTCTAGTTCCTATTAAAGTGAATGTCTTGTTCCTCACAAGTTATATGTGAATAATACCGGATGGAATAGTTTTATTCCTATTAAAGTGAATGTCCTTATTTGTAGGATTGTGATGGATAGGTCTAAAACTCGTTTGAATTTGCGGGATAAATGAATTGCTTTGGAGTTCATGCTTTGCCTTGTTTGTTTACAAATTGGGGAGTCTTCTAGTCATCTTTTTGCTAATTGCCCTTTAATCGCCTCGATTTGGTCCCGCGTGGCTCTTTGGTGGCAAGTTTCGTTGCCTTAGGTTCGGTCCGTTGATACTTTGTTATCTTGGACATAGTCGTTTTCATTACCTACAATTTCTAAACAGATGTTTGAAGCGATTATTATGTCATCTTTTTGGGTTCTTTGGAATTTCCCGAATAAGATTATTTTTGGACCAGAGAAACCTAGAAAATATGTTACTTTTGATGACATAGTTTTTTCCTTTATTTTGGGCTTGCAATAGGCGTAAAAAGTGCAAATTGTTGTGAGATTGTTAGCTTTGTAATCCACAATTGATTGTAGCTTCCTTGTAACTTTTCTCTAGCTTCTTACTAGAGGCGTTTTTTTATATATTTTACTCTACAGTTCAAAAAAAAATACACATGTCAAGAGAGAGTTAATGTAATATTAAAATTCATATTCTATATAAAAATGGTTGATGTGAATATCTATTTATATAAATAAAAAAATACAAATCATGTTATACTTGAGTTGTTTCGATAACAATAAAGTGCCAGAGAGAGAAAACGAAAAAAATAGTGTTTTAGCATAATTTAAAGTAGCAATTAACAAATATTAAGGAATAAATATAAGTACTAATATCAGTCATTTGATCAAAATCAATCGATACTTGTTTTAGTGTTCTCAACTTTTTTGATATTTTTGTTTTTGAACCTCTCTTTTTTCCTTTGTGTGTCTGTGTATACACACACATACAAGTTAAATAAAACCCTAAAACTTTGAGAGAACAAAACAACATTATATCCGTTACATAAAAAATGAAAGATTTAGGGCGTGTTTGTTTTATGGATTTCAAAGGAATTTGAACGTAAATTCTAATAACAATTATGTTTTTGATTGACAAAATCGAAGGAATTGGAACTTTTTAGATTATCTGTGGTAAGGAAATCGACCATTCTTTGTCTAAAAAGAAAGATTTTAGATTTCATTTCATATGTTTTATTATAATGCAAAAATACCTTCTCATCTCATCTTTATTTTAACCATAATTTCTCAATTTTAAAATATTATCATCATCTCATCTTCTCAAAGCCAATTTTCAAAATCAGAAGTTTCCTTTTTAGCTTTCTTATACCAAGCAACAACATCATTTACCATCAAAGGTCCGATAAGAATCCGACGACATTTACTAAAAACATATAGTTTTGTACTGACTTTTAATAAAAGCAAATAGTTATATAGAGTTATATAGAGAAATATGTGTTGGATAATATTAATAATTATATATTTATATATTGTTTTCAAAATATGAAAATTGACCGTTAACTATTATAAGACACTGACAAAAAAAAATTAATTATGTTTGATATTTTGTATTAGAACTTCCATTAGCTGATATTATTGGCGACATGACCCAATAATAATTTTTTTTGACTTATTTATTTATCACCTTTGGATAGATAAGATGAAGTCCAACATTATGGCATAATTTCTATAGTTATTTTCCGTGTTTGAGAATATAACCTATCTAATTGGGAGAACAACCATATATCCAACCATAGGTATAAAGAGCTTCTAGTCTAATGGTATTTGTCCACTCTTTCTTAAGGTCCACGGTTCAAGTCCTATAACATATATAAAATTATGACTAATTTAGGAGTAGCTTAAATTTGTCGTTTCAAAAAAATATGAGTAATTTAAGAGTAGATTAAATTTGTCGTTTATAAAAAAAAAATATGTTAGCTTGATGTTTTAGACATTTAGTTTTATTTAACAGTATTAGCCCTTGTTTCACATATTCTCATTGACATCTTATTATTATTATTTTTTTGAGGAAAACATATATATTATTAATTTATTGCTTTTCATATTAACAGTTTACTGATTGTGATGTGGCTATGAACAACTTAATCACATTGCAGTTTAGTTTCCTTATCAATGCATCGTTGCTTTCATTCTATGTTAAATTTATTTGAAAATGGTACGTACATGTGACACTATGTGTGTATTATTTTCCGCACATGTTATCGAAGTTGCATTTTTCACTAATGTATCATTAATGTAAGATTTTGTCATGTAACGGCAATATGGAAATTCAAGTTAAAAAGGTAATCTAGAGTAGCACCAAAACAATAAATGTGTATCACATGTCATTTATCATTGTTTTATTTCTAAGAAATATAAAACTATCCAACTGTCAAATATCCAAAAAAGAAAAAAATAAAATAAAATAATAACCATGTATCCTTTTTCCCAATTAGATTTCAAGGGTAAGTTGATGTTGATGATGTTGTTTTCTCAAATTACTCGTGGACATGATCATTTAATAATGACGACTCTACATTCGTAGAGACATGAATGACAGTAATCAATCTTTTGTTACCCCATTTTAATCGAGATTACATTGTCTGTTCTTGCAGTTGTTCATGTTGTTTCTGTTGTTTTCCAATTTACTCTCATTTTAATCTTTCAATCATCTTTATCATATATATTATCAATCTAACTCTATTTATTTAGCAAACAAGAATTATTTAAGAAAATCTAAGAATCTTGACTCCAAGCCGATCGTTGAGAATAAACACCTTATGAGGCATACTCCATCAAATGGCTACACCAATATTACAAACTTTCTTCATAAATTATTTGGTGGCTAGGGGTGAGCCAAAATGGTCAAACCTTGTTCAACCCCATTGGAACCATGTTAACCCAAACTACCATCCGTGGGTTGGATCCCAAAGGAACCGACTAGGAACACAGTCTTGTCCAATCAGAAAATATTGATTAGAATACAACCAATTAGTAGTTGGGCATATAACATAATGGAGGAACATGTCCTAGTAACCAGACCATCCGGGGGTCCATACCATGCAACCCTGCCCTTTTCGTCTCTATCTCCAACTGCAATGATCGATCCGTTGTTTCATTTGATTAGATTTGAGCATATCTTTTAAATGGTATGAAATGTAAGGTGTCCGGTAGTTATTTAAAAGAAACATAGACACATTATTTGCATATGTTTGCACACATGTGATGCAACTTATCATTATGTGTTGTGTTGTTTTGAGTTGCTTATAAAATCTACTATTATTTCTTTTAGTTTCCGTAAACAAGTTTACAGACTTCTTCACAAACACCACTCTACGACGGGGATTGTGGTTCATTTTTTTTTTCAAAAAGTTATTCCCTAATAATCAAAAAGAAACTCGAATTAAAGAAAAATGTTTTGTCCTGACTTAAACCTATTTTAGAACAACAAATTACAACAGAAAAAAATAGCTAACATAGGGTTGCGTAGCCATCCGACCTCTCATGTTTCTATTGTTAGCCCAAACGACTTGAAACTTTTATTTTAAACAAAAAACTCATAATTCAAAAGTTACTTCAAGGTTAGGACGACACTGGCGACGTCAAACCCATAAAGAGGGAGAGGGCATGACATTGCTTCCGTTGGTCTTGTAGCTTAGGCTTGCAATGCCAAATAGAGGTGCACAAAGGTCCGATAAATCCAAAAAAAAAAAATTTGTTTTGTTTAGTTTTGTTTTTTGTTTTTTTTCTAAATTGATTTGGATTTAATAGGTATTGGATATCAAATAATTTTGGACCAACTTCTACTAGATTTTTGCATGGGATATGTATATCCGATGTAACCGTTACAGATTTGGAAAATCCGATTTTTGCATAATCCTATATTGAATATGATTATTTTTGAAAATTTAAATTTAACCACAACCAAATAAATACTTGAATTATATCTATTTAACATTTTTTTCATGGGTGTACTCTTCTACATGTGATA